GTATAGAACTTGTCTGAAAAGATACACGGGGCACTGGTAAGCATAAGCCGACTCCAGCCAGTACTGAGTGCCTGGGGGACAGGGTGGAAGGGAAATGCATTTTTCACTGGGAGCCCCAGAACCCTATACCCACCACTGTCTGAATGTCGTCCCTAAATGTCCCCTGGCCCACGAATCCACGGAGTTCCAAGCTGCAAAATGGCACCTGTCCTCTCCTGTCCCCCCTTCCTACTGGTTTCCCCTTGGGAACAACTTCCGTCCCCTCAGTTCCTGGGCCAGACTCCTGGATGTGGTATCTTCTTCACCTCTTCCCTCCCTATCACCCCCACAGTCTGTCGGTGCTCAGCCCCACCTGCCTCCTCACATTCTCTGCCCCACCCCCTCCTTTGGGTCCGCAAGGTCCCAGCCCCAGCTCGGGCATCCTCCCCCTGCATCCATCCCCCACAGGGCCCCAGAGGGGACTCTCTGACGCCCAGATCCGACCACAACCGTCCATGGCTCCCGGTCACCCCCGGGAGAAAGTTCCCAGCCTGGCCTTCCAAGGGCTCGCGAGCCTGGCCCCGCCCACCACCTCAGCTGCATCTTGGGCTCCTGTCCTCTAAGGCTCGAGGCAGACTTGACTGCTTTGCGGTCCTCCCGGAATCGCCCCCGGTTCCCTGCCTTCAAGCCTTCTCCCGGAACGCCCTTGCTGCGGCCAGCCCCCTTCTCAGCCACCCAGATCTAACTTCTCCCGATTCTCGGAGGTCCCTTCCGCAGCCTCCAGCTGAAAGGACCCCTTGCGCCCCTGGGCTCCCACGGCCGCTGGCCTCTGGCTCTGTCATACCCCGATCGCCCTGGATTGGAACTGCCTGCGTGTGGGGCTGTCTCCTCCATCATACTGTGAGCTCCGTCTGCAAGGGGAGATATGGGTCTGATTCACCTTTGGGGCCCCAGTGCGGGCAGCGGGCGGGGCGGGGGGGAACCGAAGCGGAGGGAGGAGAAGGAGGCTGGGAGGGCAGGAAGGGGGAGAGCGAGGAGGGGAGCAGACCCCGCTGCGGCACGGGGGGAGGGAAGGGAGGGGGGGCGGGAGGAGGAAGAGGAGAGACACCGAGACCTAGACCAGGAGGAGAGAATGCACCGCGCGGGAGGCGAGGGAGCAGAGGTGGAGGGCGCGGGAGAAAGCGGCGAGGGGAGAGCCGGGCCGGCCGCGGGAGGTGGAGGGAGGGAGAAGTGGAGCGCGGCGCCCCGCCGCCCCGGCCCCTTTTGTCCCTTCCCTCCGCCCTGCGTCACGCTCCCGGCCGGCCTCCCCGCGCTCCCTCCCCCGCCCGCGCCTCCTCCCCGGGGCTGGATGGAATTTTTTCCCCTGGACCGGGGCCAGCTCCGGGGCCGGGGGAGGCAGGCCGGGCCGGGCCGGCGGCGGGGAGGGGCCGGCGCGGGGGCGCCCGGGGAGGGGGCCGGCCCGCGGGGTCCCGGGCGGAGACGCGGGCCGGAGGGAGTCGGGAGGAGGGAAGGAGGATGCCGGGGCCGCCGGGAGGAAGGGGAGAGGCCGTCGGGCGGCGGAGGCGGGGAGAGGATGGAGAGCGGGCGGCGGCGGGCCCGGCTCGGCGCGGCCTGGGGGCTGGCGGGGGAGCCCCTGCCCTCCGACGCGGGAGCCGTGGAGCCGTGAGTCTGCGGAAAGCTGGCTGGGGAGTGGGGGTGGGGAGGCGGCTGGGGCGCGGACCCGGGGTCCCAGGAAGAGGAGGAGGCCGCGGCGGCCTGGGGTTCTGGGTTCTTGGACGAGGAGGGGGCTGGGGACCCAGACTCCCGGATCCTGGTTGGAGGGGGCCTGGGGGGGCCTGGATTCCTGGGGTCCGGAGGAGAGGGCGGGGAACGGCCCCCGGATTCCAGAGGAGGAGAGAGCTGGGGCCGGGGTAGCTGGATGCGGACAGAGACTGGAGGACGCTATGGCAAGATGCCCGCCCGAGCCCTCGGGGGAGGTGGAGGGAGAGTGGTTGGCCTTGGAGGTGCCTCCGGCAGCGGAGGGGTTAACGTCTGGCTGGAGGGGAGGGGGAGGGGCAGGGATGGGGCTGCGGGGCTTTGAGGGGTCAAGGGTGAGCCGTGCGAGGTGGGGGCGGAGGGGGGGAGGTTGTCTGGGCTGCCAGACAGGCCAGGGTCAGCGGCGGGGGCAGGGGATGTCTGGCGGAGGAGAGGCCCAGCATCCAGGCTCCCTTGGGGACCTGGGATTCCAGGCCCCAGCCCCCTCCTCCCTCAGACCTGGGAGTCCGCAACCCAGCCCCCTCCTTGAGAATTTCAGAATCCGGACCCTCAGCCCCCTTTACCCCAGGACCCGGGAGAGTCCTGGCCTCCGGCCTCTTCTTCCCTCATACCTGCGAGTCCACACCCCAGCCCCCACCCTTCGCGGAACGACAAAGTCCGGGCCTCTGGCTCCTTCCTCCCCCGAACCCAGGCGTCCCCACCTCCTCTTTAAGCCCCAGCTGGATCCCAGCCCTCCGGGGGTTAAGGGGGCGGGGCCAGCTGGTTGCCATAGTGCCAGACTGTTTGGGTCTGCTCTCTGACCCTTGGGGGCTCCCCAGGGTCTGCAGAGAGGGGGAGGGGGACCCAGACCTGAGGGAAGTCCAGCGCCAACCCCTTCCCCAAATCGGGCCTCTGGGCCCGGGGAGTTCGTGTCTCCATCAACGCCGCGTCCGGTGACCTTGAACCAGTCCTGACCCTCCCGTCTGGGTCTCAGTTTCCCCAAGGAGGAATCTGTTGGTGGAGTGGGGAGACGCTCGGGTCCGGCAAATCTTTAAGATTCTCAGCTCCCCTCTCACCCCCTCCTCAGGCCCCAGGCAGCCCCGGGGCATGCTGGGAACCCGGCCTGGGCTCTGGGCCAGGTTGTGGGGGGGCGGGGGCAGCCTCCTCCCTTCCCCTTCCTCCCCACCTTGGCCTGACTCTCGCCCCCGCCTGAGGGTCTGGGAGGTTGGGAAGGAGGGAAGGGGGGATGAGAGCCGGACCCGACTCTGGCCCCCCATCTCCAGCTCTCCTCCGCCCCCTGCCCGCCTCTCCTCCCCCTCCTCAGCAGGTCGCTACCCCAGCCCTGGGCCCCTTCTCGAACCACCCCCACCCCACCCCCAGCTCCAGACCTGGCTCTGAGCTGGGAGGGGGAGGGAGAGAGGGAAGGAGAAAGAGAGAGAGAGAGAGAGAGAGGCAGAGAGGGGGCGAAGAAGGGAGGGAGAAAGAAGGGTGGGAGGGGAGAGCACGGAGGAAAGAGACCGAGGGAGACAGAGATGTGAGATGGAAAGAAGGGAGCCGGCCAGAGACAGAGACCCTGCGGAAGAAAGAGACTGAGAGAATGAGAGACAAAGAGCGAGGGAGGGAGGTGGACCAGGGAGGAAGAAAGACAGAAGGGAAAGAAAAAGAATGAGAAAGGAGAGAGAGGGAGAGGCCATCTGCGAGGGAGAGCGCCGGAACCACGGAGGGGAGAGGAGGACGAGAGCCGAGCGTGAGCAATGCAGAGCCCGAGAAACAGACGCAGGAGGAGGTGGAGACCAGGTAAGCCGCGGGCTGACTGCGAGACCAGGCTCCGAGACCAGGCGCAGCAGGAGGAGAGAGCCGGGAAGATGGAGCTGGAGCGTGGGACCGAGGCAGCAGGACAGCCAGCGCTGGCCAGAGGGACTGACCAGTGACCCGCAGGTGCTGGAGCTCAGCTCAGCCCTGGGCCAGGGACGCTGGGTGCCCGGCCGCCGCCCACCAGGCCTGGCCCCTCCCACTGGCCTGACTGGCCAAGCTTCTCTTCATCTCTGCAGCCGCCAGGCCAGGGGACAGAACCTGGCCAGGCCTGGGGCAGTGTCAGTGCTCGGGAACCATAGTCATCCTCATTATAAGTGATGGGAGGCTAAAAGAAGACATGAGAGAGGGGGAGAATATCCAGAAAGGTTTGAAGGCTTCCTGTCCCTGCCTGCGCCTTAGTCCCGGATTCCAGAATCTGACAGGTAGGTAGGGAGCTGCTTGCCCAAGGGACTGAACTCCAGAAGAAGTGAGGTTCTCTCTGACTCCACATCCAGGGAGCCAGGCTCCGCCTTCCCCAGGGAAACAGGCCTGATTGGACTCTCAGGGCCTGAGGGAAGAGGGGGCTGCCCAGACATCTGAGTCTGAAAGAGGAGGGTCCACTGGCCTGGACTCCATGCACCTTTGAGGAGGAAGGGGCTAGGGGCCTGAAACTCCTGGGTCCCTGCTGAGGAAGGAGCCAAGGGACTGATTCCTGGGTTCCTTGGGAGGAGGGGGCCGGGGGCCCGGATTCCTGGGTCCTGGCACCCACCCGTAGAACCGACCTTGCGGGGCCTTCGCCGCACACAAGCTCGAGTCTGTGGGTCTGTGTCGGGGGCTCACCATCACGGCTGGGGTCTTCCCGGCCCTCCCCACCCTCCCTGGCCCTCCTGGCCCCCATCTGTCCCTCCATCCGTCTGTCTGTCCACCTGCCGCGCCCCCCGGGCTGAGGTAGGAGGTTGTATAGTTGAGGAGGACACCCACGGAGATCACTATACGGCCTCCTAGCTTTCCCCAGGCTGCGCCCTGCACGGGACGCCCGGCGGGGACCCCAGCCCCTGACCACTGCCCCATGCCGGGGGACCCTGGGAGGAGGAGCTGGGCTTCTCGCCTGTCCTGTCCTTGCATCCCCTCTTCCCACTGCCCTCAAAGAGTTCCTCTCCCAAGAAGAAACCTCTACTTCGCTTTCTCTATCTCTCCATTTCTGCTGTGTCTCTGGCGTCTTCTGTGGGTCTACACAGCAGCCTCTCAGATTGTCTCTCCATCTCTCTCTTATTGTGCTTTCTGATATCTCTCCACGTCTCAGTTTCTGTCTCTTGGGCTTTCTCAGTATCTCTGTGCCATTTCCACTCTGACCCCCCACCCCCACCCCACACCAGGGCCTGTCAGGCCACCACACACCACACTGCCGGCCTCTGGGTCCCTGAGACCCTTTAACCTGTGAGGACATCCAGGGTCACAGGTGAGGTTCTTGGGAGCCTGGCGTCTGGCGCAACCACAAGCCTGGGGATTGTCCGCCCGACCCCTGACTCCTCACACCCTTTCTCCCTGAAAATCCAGAGCTTGACATTTGACCAGCCTCAGAAATCCAACCTCTGACCTCAGACTGCATGCCCCTCCCCCACCCAGCGGTGACCTCACAAAGGTCACCCACTTTGCTCAGGGACCCAGACCCTCAGTTATGGCCCTGCTGGCCCAAGGCAGTACTGTCCCATCTGCCCTGGTGGCCCTCATGGTCTTCAGGGGCCCCGCCTGGGCCTGTCTCTTCTGCTTCACATCCTATGAGGAGCGTGTCCGCATCTGCCAGATCTTTGCTGGTGTAGAGGGCCCTGAGCTGGAGAAGTGTCAGAAGGCGTTCATCACCGCCTTTCAGGGCCTCCTAGACATTGAAATCAGTGAGGAGAACTGCCACCGTCCTCCGGGGTCCTGGGGGATAACACTGAGTGATACCAGACAGTGCTGAGAACCACTGAGATTCCCACAAAGGGGGGAGAATAGAGGGGTGCGGGGGTAGGGACTTGGGGGGAGAAGAGAGCTGAGACTGGGTCAGAGATGGGGGGTAGCAGTAGGGAGGGGACAGAGACTTGGAGACAGAAGGTATCTTAGAAAGACAGGAACTGTCCACACTGTGGATGTGGCATTGAGGTGCATGCATTTGCCAGCCTCTGCCCTCCACCCTTACTCCCAGATGACTATGAGAGAAACCACCTGCATGATGCCTTCACCCAGATGACCCACTCTCTCCAGGAGATGGCCATGGCCCAGGGTGAGTGGGCTGGGGATGGTTTTTGGTGGATGTGGGTTGGAAGCCCCCAAGAGGTGGATGTGTGTGCAGGGGGGCCCCAGAACGTGGGAGGATCGGGAGGAGGTAGTGTTGGTGAGCTGAGTGAACTTGATTAGTTGTTGTGGAGTAGGGATGGGCGGATGCTGGTGGGGAGGTCAAAGGACAGCGCAGAAATGACCAGAGTCTGAAGCCTCGCTGGGATCAGGTAGAGGAGCTCTGAACTGGCTGTGTGGCTCCCCCTCTCCTTGGCTATGAGGTTCTGGGTGTGTTGCTGCCTCCCTCAGAGGGAGGAGCCTCCTGACCAGACAGACCTCAGAGGGAGAGGGAGGGGGGAGGCTGAGTGCTGTTTGCGGCATGAACTGGCCAGTCAGAGGTCCAGGGCTCAGGGCTCATTTCTACATCTGCTGTTATGCCTTTTGTTTTCTGCTCTTGCCCACCAAGCTTTCCGACAATGATCTTGAAAAACAGGGAGGTTCCTGTCCACCCAGGGGGAGGGAAGGGGGTATTGGGAGTCAGCATGAACTTCAGCTACATATCCCCCACCCCCAAGGAGAGGCCTGAGCAACTCAGAGCTGGGGTGGGGGGAGGTGCTCAGGAATCCCGAAAACACTCTTTCTCCCTACTTTGGCCATCTTGTCATACAAGGTTTTGAAGAAAGGAGGAACAAGTCCAGTTCTGCCTGTAGAAGACCTCCCTTAGAGCTGTGTGTGGGACACAGTGGCTCAGGGAGACAGCAGAAGCTGGGAGGCCAGGGTGGAGGCTGAGGTGAGGGAGGCCTGGGCTGGGGGGGGGGGTGCCTATGTGAAGATGGAGAAGTGGGCATGGATGAAGGGGAGAGCCATCCAGGGCCTTGGGTCTGATGGTCCATTCGGGGACTGGGGTGGGGGTGTAATGGACAGTGCCCAGGGTCCAGCTCCCCTGAGATGAGGAACCAGGGAGAAAGAACAGGAGTGGGAGAAGATGGTGAGCTGGGCTAGGACACAGTGACAGTGTGTGGGACTCGAGGGACATCCAGGAGGCAGCTAGACACACAGGCCCAGGATTTAGCTGAAAGGTCAAGGAGACTTGAGACTGTCCTGGAGGAGCAAGGCTGTGAGCAAGGGAAGGGCAGGCTTAGCTCTGGGTGTAGAAAGACCCTCTGGGATTGTATGGAGGACAGACTGGAGGCCGAGGGAAGCCAGTGCAATATGACCGACAGGTATTCATTGAATGTGCCAGAAACAACACTGTGGATATAGCTGTGACCAAATGTGCAAACCACTAGCCCTCAGGTTGCTTGGATTGGGGGGTGGGAGGGACAGACAATAAATGTAATCAATGAAATACTAGGGTGTCAGATGGTCATCCAGGATATGGAGGAAAACGAGTGCAGGGAACAGGGTGCCCAGTGGGATAATTATTGTAAATAGGTTGGTCAGGGCAGTTGCAAATGAGAAGGTCTAATTGAGCAAAGACCTGAACCAGGTGACAGCCATGCAGATAATCTGGGGAAAGAGCTTTCCAGGCAGAGGGCAGAGCCAGTGCCGAGGGCTGGAGCGGAATCAACGAGGGAAAAAGCAGGAGGAGATGAAATCAGAGGCTGCAAAGAACCACATCCTGTTGGAGCTCATAGGCCAGTGGTTCTCAAGCCCCGGTGTGTGTCAGAATCTCCTGATGGCTTGTTAAAATGCAGACTCCTGGGTCCTACTCTCCATTTCTGACCAGTGGGTCTGAGGTAAGGGCCGGGAAGTGAACTTTTTTTTTTTAAGATTTTTAATTTATTTATTTATTCATGAGAGAGACACACAGAGAGAGGCAGAGACACAGGCAGAAGGAGAAGCAGGCACCATGTAGGGATTCCAATGTGGGACTTGATCCTGCAACTCCAGGATCTTGCCCTGAGCCGAAGGCAGACAGACGCTCAACCACTGAGCCACCCATGTGTCCCACGGAAGTAGACCTTTCTAACAAGTTCCCAGGTGATGCTGTTGCAGCTCCAGGAACACAGTTTGAGAACCATTCTTTTCGACCCTTGAACTGATGTTCAAGCCATCAGAGGATTTTAGGGAGAGAGAGACAGGGCCTGATTGAGGCCATGTGGACCAAAGGCAGAAGCAGCGGAACAGTGTGGAGAAGGTTCATGGTGGTTTGGACCAGTGGCAGTGGTCCAGGTGGACCAAGATGAGGGCTGAGCTGAAAGGGGCAAGCTTGGGTGGGGTGGGAGGAGGAGTAGGAAGTGCCTCAGTTTCTCCATCTCAAACTTGGAGAATGGTAATATCTCTGTAACACTCATGGTGTGACAGACACCATCCTAAGCACTTACATATACTCTCTTGCAGCCATTAAATGGCACATAGTTTGGCATGAGGATGTTTTTATATAGTATGGCATTAAAGTATCGCCTCTGCCTCCTGCCAACCCTAATAGGTAGACACTGATACTGTCTCCATTTTACCAACTGAGGATCAGGAAAGTTACATATTTGGACAAGGTCATGTAAGGAAGAGGACTTGAAATGGATATCTCAGATGGGAGGCAGGTGTTCTCACAGATGGATGAGCCAGGACTCAAACCCACATAGTCAGAAACAGTTAAGTTTCCTAATGATACACACCTCTTTTGGGTAGACTTCACAACATCCACCCATGCCCCCTTGTGGTTCACTTGATATAACCTCCACCCTTTGGCCTCTTTGGACATTGCACTCCATCCCTGCTTTCTTCCCACGGTTTGCTTAGATATAACACACACACACACACACACACACACACACACCCAATCATGGCTCACTTGGCATAATCCTACACTCATCCTCCCTGTGAGTCACTAGGTTTGGCACAAAGACATTCCTTGGATGACTCTTCCAACATCCTGGCCTCTCATTTGAGCACCCCATTCTGACCACATCCTTCTGGCCATCCTGCCATCTCCAGACCACACACCTGCCCTGTGGCCAAAGAGAGACCTCTAAGTCCTTGACCTCTCACTTTGAACCCACTTCCTGGCTCTAGTTTATACCCAAGGATCATCACATCAGCCGCCCTCTCGCCAATATTCTCAGTTCCCTTCCCTTTCTGTGTGGTTTGAAATCACAGAGGAACGTGCAATGGTTAAGCAAGCTAGAAGTCTTGAGGTAGGCAGGCACTTAAGTTTTGTATGGAGGCACCACTTCATTTTCTTGGGGACCCAAACCCCTTCCAACTTCCTACTTTGCTATCCTAGGATGCAGCCCTTATCTTCATGGTTCTGCATGCCTGCTGGAGCCCCAGCCATCAAATCCAAGTTTCAGGCAGCAGGATAGAGGAAGGGGAAGATCCATAAGATGGTATCATTTCTCTTCTCAAGGCTACTTCCTATGACTTGCACATGACACTTCCATTTCCACTGGTGACCAAAATTTGGTTATATGATCACAACTGGGTCACATGACCACAACTAGCTGCATGGGATGTTGAGGAATATAGTCTTTTAGCTGGGTGGTTGGTGGGGCCAGGGGTGCTTTCCTAGCTGAAATGCAGTGTGATGTTACTAAAGAGGTATTTGGAGGCAACTAGCAATCCCTGTGTATTAGTTTGCTAGGGCTGCTGTAACAAAGTGTCATATACAGGGTTGCTTAAACAACAGAAATGTATTTGTTCACAATTCTGGAGGTTAGGAGTCCAAGATCAAAGTGTCAGGGTGAACAGGGTTGGTTCCTTCTGAGGCCTCCCTCTTTGGCTGGTAGATGACCATCTTCTCTCCCCCTGGTCACATGATCTTCCCTCTGTGTGTCTGTATCCAGATTTCCTCTTATAAGCAATGTGATACTGGATCAGAGCCCACCCTGATCTCATTTTAACTTAATTACCTCTTTAAGGCTGTATCTCCAAGTCATAGCCCCAGGTCCTGGAGTTAGGGCTTTAGCATTATGAATTTGAGAGGGACACAATTCGGTGCATAACACCTGCCACATTTCTTTTAAAAAATTTTTTTCTTTGTTTATTTGAGTGAGTGCACGCTATATGCATGTCTGCACTGAGCTTGGAGTCCAATGCAGGGCTCAGTGTCATGACCCTGAGATCATGACCTCAGCCAAAATCAAGAGTTGGAAGACTTGGATGCTTAACCGAAGGAGTCACCCAGGCACCGCACATCTCCCACATTTCTAATTTCCAGAACCACCTCCACTGGTAAATAAGTGGCCACCCATCCACTTTGGGAAGAGCCACAAAACCTTACAGTTTGGAGGCCATTCCAATGGTCAAAACTCCAACACCCATAAGAACAGAGATAAAGAGAGTAAAAGAAAATTTAAATTAATAAAGTCTGGAGACCATGTGGAAGTGGCAGGTGCATGCCCTTTGTAAAGGGGGTGGTTGCCACTAAGCTCTAGCTAATTGCTGCCTCATGAAAATATAGTCTCTTGTATTATAGCTCTTCCACTTTTCTAAAAAGAGATGCCAAACATTTTATGGTGACTTTCCCAAATTTTATATGATGGAAACTGGTTCATTTTAAAAAATACTTTCCAGTCCAAATATAACACATTCAAGGGATGGACTGGAGCCAGGGGCCACCAGTTGTGATCTCCATTCCAGCTGGATCCTGGAATTCATTCTACATATACTTAGTGAGCACTTTCTAAGACTCAGGGCCCTCTCTGGGTTGTGGGGATACAGCACTGAAGAATGACATGTTTATTCCCTGAAGAGACAGACTGAGATGATCACTGTGTGATATACACACACACAATTGTAAACTAGCGAGAACTCTGGGATGGATGGAACACCTTGATAGACAAAAATAGGGGCACATGGATTAGATTAGATTTATGGTCAGGGAAAATCTCAAAGGAGATGATGCGAGGTAGGAGATGAAGGATGAGGGGGATTGGGGGGGGAAGATGGGCTAGAAAGAGCCTCCATGTGCTAAGGTCCTGAGGTGCTAGAGAATATGGTTGTTTTCATACTAGGGGAAATGAAAGATGGGCAACAGATGGAATAGAGGAAACTAGACCAGATCATGTAGGGCCTAGCAGAACTTGGTGAGGAATTTGATCTCGATCCTCCCCTTTCCCTCCAACAAGATCAATGCAGAGAAGGCAGAGTAGTTCAGTCACAGAGAGTTCAGAAGCAGACCGGAGGCCTGGGGATCTGTCAGTCTTCCAGGTAGACAGAGTGGGAGATGAGATGAGGGGATGGGGAGTGGCTGTGGAAGAGACGAACACCGCAATAGCAACTGACCGGCCTTGGAGGTGGGTTTTTACTGACAAGGGCCCCTCCTCCTTTTAGGCTCCTTTAAGGTTGCTTTTCCCAACGCTGCGAAGAAAATGCAGGAAGTCATTAAGAAGCTTAAAGAAGGTAAAAGAAGCTGGGCTGTGCGTGCACACCACACACACACACACACACACACACACACACAAAACTCCTGAGCCAGCCATCCTCTCCCTTTGGCCCAGCCCCTCCGAGCCACGTCCCTTGGAGGGTCACTCCTGACACAGCATCTTCCCCTGTGAGGACCTCTTTAGGATCAGGTCCCTGCTTCAACGGAAGGTTTCCAGCTAGGACCCCATCTTCCGATAGTCCTGTCCCAGATCAGCCCGGGTCTCAGTCTGGCCCCGTGCACTTTGTGACGTTTCCTTTCCAACCCGACTGCCCCCACCGAAACTATAGCCCAGGGCATAGCCCCGCCCCCTCACTGAACTACACCTGGGTTGGCCCCGACTCCCTAGTAAGCCTCAGGCCCGCGCCTGACCTTAGGGGGCAGCAGTCCTGGCCCCGCCTGCAGGAGGAAAGCAGCAGGCTTGGCTCCGCCCCTAGGGTGGGCGGTACCAGACCTGGCGCCGCCCCCCAGAGGTACGCCACCTGGCCCAGTTAACCTATCCCGTGGGGGAGTTTCGGATACGCCCTTTCCTCCAGGGTAGTAACGCTTCCTCTCTCTCCACAGTCGAGGCCTGCATCCCTCCCTGCGGTAAGCACTTCGTTCAAAGCTCGGAACCGAGTGGGAAGGCGGGTGGCTGGGCGCGACACCTGTGACTTCGAGTGGAAGACCAATAAGAGCCCTGAACAAAAGTAATTAAACCAGATCTTGCTCACAAATCTCATACAAGGCGGGTCCGAAAGCAAAAGCGAGCCAATAGGAGTCCTAGAGGCCGGAGAGTTTTGAGAGCCAGCCAGTGAGAACAGGGAAGGCGGCGCCCAGGGCTTGTCTGGCCGTTAGAGCCCGGGAGGCTTAACACACTTAAGTTGGCCCAAGGGACCAGGGCGGGGAACACGGATGGATCCCAGGTGCAGCGCTTCCGTCCCACAGGGGTCCAGGAGGCGAGCCGGAGTTTCCGCTGCCGCGGGTGCTACTCCGACGTGTGCGAACTCTCGCTGGATTGCCCAGGTGAGGGGCGGAGCCTGCAAGGGGCCGGAACCGGACGAACCGGAGGGACGGGAGCTGAGCCGGCAAAGGGGCTGGGCCGGACGGGGCGGGCTCGGGCGGTGACGCGGACCTGTCTGCAGTCCAGGACTGGACAGTGACTCGAGGTCAACAGGCTAAGTTCTCTTGCTCTGTGAACTTCTCGCTGCCTAAGGAGGAAATCACGTATTCCTGGAAGTTCGCAGGAGGAGGTGTGAGTCGGAGCGGGGCCAGCAAGAAGGATGTGGGAGGCGGGTTTTGGTTTTCTAGAAAATGGGGGTCAGGATGCAGGGGAGCTCGGGCTAGATTCAGGCTTCGTGCCCGGGGAAGGTCCGGGGATTTGGAAGCGCAGGCAAGGCTCGGGAGGCGGCTTGGAGGGGCGTGGTCGTGCGTGAAGGGTCGGCGAAAGGGGGGTGGGGCGGGGCCAGGGCTCAAGAAGGCGTGGTCTAGCTCGGGGCGGGACTTGAGCGCGGTGGTTCGGCAACACCCCGCCGAGAGAATCTGACCTGGGCTCGGGCGAGGCTCCTCTCCTCCCGCTGCTTCAGCCCGAGCGTCTCGCAGGTCCGGACGCAGGACCAGTCCTACTTCCGAGACATCCTGCAGGCCCGAGGAAACCTGGTGCGGATCCGGCCGGTGCAGCTCAAGCACCGCGGGACCTACTGCTGCGAGATCTCGCACGACCAGTTCCCCGTGGCGCGGGTCTATTTCTTTCTTAACGGTGCGGGCGGGGCTGCGCGGGGAGGGGGGCTGCGTGGGGAGGGGGGCTGCGCGGGGAGGGGGGCTGCGCGAGGGGTGGGGCTCGCGCGCGACTGACGTGCGCGCCTCCGCAGTGACAGGTGCGCCCCCGCGTGGGGAGACCAAGCTGCAGGTCTCCTTTCGGAAAGTGCTGGACTGGGCGCCCCGGGAGGCGGAGATGATTGAATCTTGGAGGCCAAGCCTGGGCGAGCTGCTGGCCAGTTCCGGGGCTCTGACGCCCAGCAACCAGTGTCTGCTCGCCGCCGCCGCGGCCTTAGCATCAGCCAGTGCGACCCTTGTGGTGTGGTAAGTCCCAGGGACCCGGGGGTCCCAGCATCTATCTGCTCTCCTTCCTCAGACCTGGTGTCCTGCACCCTTATATCCAGGAGTCCAGGCCCCCAGCCCCCTCCTCCCTCAGACCCAGGAGTCCAGGACCCCAGCCACCTCCTCCCTCAGACCCAGGAGTCCAGGTCCCCAGCCACCTCCTCCCTCAGACCCTTCCTCCCACAGATCCAAGAGTCTAGGCCCCCAGCCCCCTCCTCCCTCAGACCCAGGAGTCCAGGTCCCCAGCCACCTCCTCCCTCAGACCCTTCCTCCCTCAGATCCAAGAGTCTAGGCCCCCAGCCCCCTCCTCCCTCAGACCCAGGAGTCCAGGCCCCCAGCCCCCTCCTCCCTCAGACCCAGGAGTCCAGGCCCCCAGCCCCCTCCTCCCTCAGACCCAGGAGTCCAGGTCCCCAGCCACCTCCTCCCTCAGAACCCTTCCTCTCTCAGATCCAAGAGTCTAGGCCCCCAGCCCCTTCCTCCCTCAGACCCAGGAGTCCAGGCCCCCAGCCCCTCCTTCCTCAGATCCAGGAGTCCAGGTCCCCAGCCACCTCCTCCCTCAGACCCTTCTGCCCTCGGATCCAAGAGTACAGGCCCCCAGCCCCTCCTCCCTCAGATCCAGTCCTCCCTCAGACCTAGAAGTCTAGACCCCCCAGTGCCTTCCATCCTCAGACCCAGTAGTCTAGACCCTCAGACCCAGGAGTCCAGGCCCCCAGGCCACCAGGCCCTTTTCCCTCAGATCCAAGAGTGCAGGCCTTATCTACCTTTGTGACCCAGATATCTAGTCCCCAACCTTTCCCCCTAACACAAGTACCTCCTTGTTTCCCCAGGATGTTCTTTCGATGGTACTTCAAGGGCAACTAACAAAGGTATCTTTTTCTTACTTCCTTATCCTGTTTTCATTCCTATAATAAAGAATATATGTCAGCTCTCTAGATTATCTCATCTTTGAAGGTGTTCACTACTAATGCAGGTAGAAGGAGGGGCACCAGACCACAAATATACCCAGGTGAATATTCCCCTAATAACAGTAACGTGTAGAGCTGACACAGTGCAACGTTCTGTGCTGAGGACTTTGGGTACAAGCTCAGGCCCCTCCCCAGATTTCTGGCAGTCTCTTTGACATTTCAACCTGCAGAACACACACTCAAATGGAGTCCTTGCTGTCTCTTTGAAAGCCTGTTCCTCCCCAAGCCTTTCCTACTGAGTGTACCACCAACCACCCAGCTGCTCAACTGGAAACCTAAGAGTGTAATTCCTCCTCCACTTCTACTTCCATGCCTCAGCCTTTTTAACTCCTAAACATCTTGTGCAGCCGCCCTCTCTCTGTGGTCCCAGTTACCATCATCTCTTGCCTGGGTTATTCCAGCAGCATCTCCACTCACCTCCCTGCCTTGACTCCGTGCACTACAGTCCATCCTCCACATAGCAGCCAGGGGAATATTTTGAAGTATGTCTGATCAGGTCACTCCTTTGCTCAAAACCCTTTAGCTCTCTATTGCCACTGGAACAAAATCCAGTTCCCTGTTAGGGCCTCCAAGATGCCCCAGGTTCTGGCCTTTGCTGATCTGGTGAGCCTTGTCTTTCTACCCTGCAGGCATGATGGGTAGATCTTTCCACCCTGCAGTTTGTCTGGCCTTTGCTTATTCCTTAAATTTGTCATGATTCTTGTCACCCTCTCCAGGACCTGGTTAGCTGTTGTTTCCTGCCTAGGATCACGTTTTCTCCCTTCTGTGTCTAAACTCACTTATGATTTCCTCTGAAAAACCTTTACATGTATTAACCAATTTCATCCCTCTGACAGCTCTGTGTCTGGTAGGCAGCTGGACTCCACCTCCCTTTTTTTGTCCTCTTTACTCTCTGGCCCCACTAGTCATTTTTTTGTCTCTTGAACATGCAAAGCTCAGTCCCACATTCCGGCCTTTGCACATGACGTTCTTCATACTTGATGTGACTTGACTGTGAAACTCACAAAGCTACCTCCCTCTCACCGCACAGGTCCCAGCCCAAATGTCATCTTCACTGACCATTTCCCTCCCTGTCAGCTGACATCCCCCTCCCTATTTTCACTTGTGCATTTTATTCATGGGACTTGATGTCAACCTGTGTTTTTTATTTTGGTTGTGTCTTCTCACCTAAAAGATAAGTTGCTTCTGGGCATCTGCTCATTCTTGTTCACTAATATATTCCACTTTGCTCACTCATTCATTCATTCAGAGAATATTTACTGAGTACTTCTTTTTTTTTTTTTTTTTTTTTACTGAGTACTTCTATGTGCCAGGCATTTTCAAGGCACTGTAGAGACAGCAGTGAAGAAATCAGAACAGATGGGGTGCTGGGGTGGTTCAGTAGTTGTGTGTCTGCCTTTGGCTACGGTTGTGATCCCGGGGTGCTGGGATCAAGTCCCATGGGGAGCCTGCTCCTCTCTCTGCCTGTATCTCCGCCTCTCTCTGTGTCTCTCATGAACACATAAATAAAATCTTTAAAAAAAATCACAATAGATAAAAATCTGCTCCCTCAAGGAGTTTAGATTCTTTGAGGGGCCAGTGCACAGAGGTAGAGAAAGAATCTTGTGGAGCCCAACATGGGGCTCAATTTCATATCCCTGAAATCATGACATGAGATGAAATCAAGAGTCAGATGCTTAACTGAACTAGCCAGGTGCCTGTGGAGTTTAGATTGTAATGGATGGTCAGACAATAAAAAGAAAATTAAACAAAATAAGACATGGATCAAATGAGAAATAGCAAGGGCAAAATCCCCTAGTGCACCTAATATTGGAGACATGGCCAGGAGGCATCTGGAGTAGGACTTTTGGAAACGAGTACACAATGAAGTCAGAGAGAATGTGCAGGACCTTGGCCACTGTAAGGTCTGGATTTCCCTCTAAGATGAGAGTAATGGGCAGTTTTTGAGGCCAGGAAAGTCATGATTTGATTTGATTTGTATGACTACTGCATGGACAATGAACTGTAGGGGGCAGGAACCACTATGAGGTGCTGTGATCATCTAGACAGCTATAATCTGGGAAGGAGATGCAGCTCAGGGACAACTGTGATGACAGTGACGAGTTTGGTTTTTTTTTTTCTTTTTTTAAAATTTTATCTATTTGAGAGAGAGCAGAGCATGAGAGGGAGAAGCAGACTCCCCACCAAGCAGGAAGCCCAATGTGGGGCTTGATCCCAGGACCCCAGGATCATGACCTGAGCCAAAAGCAGATGCTTAACTGACTGAGCCTCCCAGGTGCCCCTGACAGTGAGGAGCTCTAGATCTGTCCTGAAGGTAGGATCAGTGGGGTTTGCTGATGGATTGGAATGTTAGGTGTGAGAGGAAGAAAAGAGAAGGGGCAGTGTCCATGGTCAGGGCAGCAGAGGGTCCAGTAGAATCCTCTGCCATGATGGCAATGTTCTAGATATGTACTGTCCATTGTGGTGGCTACCAGCTACCTGTGGCCATGAAGTGGGTCAGATGTGGCCAGTGCAACTGAGGATCTAAATTTATAATCTTTTATAGCTTTAATAATTTAAGTTGTGCCTCAGCTGTGAAAATAGAAATCACAGAGGCATGTGTCTTTGTGTAACTCTGGATCACACTCTTTGTTTACTTGACAAGGAGCTCCTGGAAGGCAGGGGCTGCCTCTTACTCATTTCTGCATTTGCAAACCTGGCAAAATGTGTAATTCAGTACATACTTGGTAAACGGTTTCATGACTGATTGACATCATCAAAGAATGAATTTAAAAAATTAAGTAGTCCTCTGTGGTAGGGGATATGTTGTGTGCAGTGCAGTTCTAGCATTTTTGATGTGAGCAGCTAGAATGTCAGAGTTCTGTTTACTGAGATAATGAATGCTGTGGGAGGAGCAGTTTTCTTGGAAGGTTTCAAGGAGGGAGGAAGAGGAGGAAAGATGAGGCGTTGGGTCTGGTGATGAGGAAGTGACTTGGAGCCAATTGGGTATACAAGTCGGGAATTCTGGAGTGAGGTCTGATCTGAAGATACAAGTTTCAGAGCCATGCCACTGAATGCACAGAGGAAATGAGTGTAAATCCATAAGAGAAGTGGATAGGAGGAAGTTTCTCCAAAGTTAAGCCATTTGAACCATGAGAAGCTGAGAAGGCAGCTGTGGCATCCCTGAAAGCCAAATGAAGAAAGCACTTCAAGAAGAGAGTGATCAGCTGGTCAGATGCTGCATCATGAGAGAGGAGGCCTGAGAATTGGCCATTGGTTTCAGCAACATGGACATCACTGATAAACTTGACTGGAGCCATTTCCAAAGAGCCATGGCTGGGAGCCATCTGATTGGCATGGATTTGAAAGTCAGTGGGAGGCAACACTAGTCATCAGAGAAATGCAAATCAAAGCCACAATGAGATACCATTTCACACCCCCTGGGAGGCTATAATCAAAAAGTCAGGTGAGGGGCGCCTGGGTGGCTCAGTTGGTTAAGCATCTGCCTTGGGCTCAGGGTCCTGGAATCAAGCCTCGCCTTGGGCTCCCTGCTCAGCAGAGTCTGCTTTTCCCTCTCCCTCTACTCCTCACCTTACTCATGTTCAGTGTCTCTCTCAAATAAAATCTTTTTTAAACAAAATCAGGTGATAACAAATGTTGGTGACAATATAGGGAAATCAGAACCCTCCTACTTTGCTAATGGGAATATAAAATGGTACAGGTGCTGTGAAAACCACCTGTCAGTTTCTTAAGAAATTAAACAGGACCACCATATGACTCAGCAACTCCACTCCTAGAGAAGCCCACCTGAGAGAATCTAACACACAGAGAATCTAAGACACATCTAACACACAGTTTCTGTTCACACAGAAACTTGTCTGTGAATGTCTATAGCATTATTCACAACAGCCAAAAAATGGAAACATCCCAAATATCCATCGACTGATAAATGTGTAAACCAAATGTAATGTATCCCTACAGAGGAATATTATTTGGAAGTAAAAGGGAATGAGCCAATGATACATGCAACAACACAGATGAACTTTGTGTCACAAAAAATATATATATTGCATGATTCCATTTATGTGAAATGTCCAGAAGAGACAAATCTGTGGAGATAAAGCATAGATTATGGTTGCCTAGGGCATGGAGGTGGGTTCGGGGTGAAGAATGCAAGTGACTGCCAGTGGCTGTGGAGTTCCTTTTGGGGGGTGATAAAAATGTTCTAAAATTAGATTATGGTAATGGCTGCAGGAGTCTATAAAGTTACTAAAGACCATTGAATTAGGCACTTAATGTGGCTGAACTTTGTGGAAGAGAAATTGGAGACAAAGATAAACAGCTCTCAAGGAGTTTTGCTGTTAGAAATGAAACAGTATGGAGCATCTAGCTGGCTCAGTCGGTGGAGCATGCAAAAGATCTTGATCTCCTGGTCATGAGTTTGAGCCCCACTGAGGGGGAGAGATTACTTTAAAAAAAGGAAAGAAAAAAAAAAAAAAGACAGTAGCTCAGGAGGAAATAGGTCAAGACAGGGTGTCCTAAAAGTCACAGAGTGATAGCACATTTGGATGCTGGTAGGAAACCCCTCATGGGGAGGGAAGAAGTGATGATGTGGGAAGAATGCAAGGAGTGAGATCTTTGATTAGACCTGAAGGCATGAGACTTAATGCCCCAGTGGGATGGGCTGGCATTGGAGCACAATCAGTTTGTGTTCAGTAATGAGGAAGGTGTGGCCTGTGTGGGCACAGATGGAGATCAGTGGAAAGATATACAGGTGGGACTGGTTTTTTTCTTATCACTTTTGTTTTCTTAGTGAGATGGAAAGCAAAGTAAGGGTGAGGTGCTAGGGGTTTGAGGAGATGAGGTATGGCTTCCCTTTCTTAGAGAGCAGCCAAGTAGACCAGGAAAAGGCCCTCCTCAGTACCTAACAGTGTCACCACATAGCAGGTACTCCATTAAGTATCTGTGCTGAGAATTTTCACCCTCATATCTCTGACCCATGGGATTATTATCCCTGTTTCCCGAAGAAGGACCCTTCTAGGTTCAAACAGCTGGCACCTAGGACAGAGCCACAAGTCCCCAGACTTTAGCCCTATAACCGCTCAGGTCTCAAAGAAAAGGGGGAGACTCAGGAGAAAATAAATAAAATTCTTTATTATATCCTAGTCACACAGTACAAATGGATATTAAATAAAAACAGAGAGAAAGCAGGCCCCAGGACAGCATGTGGAGACCCTTGTCCCCCACCCCTAAAAATCCATGCCCTGATCAATAAATACCCCCTTCCCAGAGACCCTGAAGTCCCAGCCTCAAGAATCTTGGGTCAACATCCCCTCGCTTCACAGAGGAGGGAAACTGAGCCCCAGAGAATCACCCAGCAAGTCTGTGGCTCCTGGGGCCCCTGCTGGTTTCCTCTTTTGCTTCCCTTGAAGTCCCCTGGGTGGGCACCCTGCACACCCAGACTCACACCTGGACTCTGTAGCCACCTGAGCGCCGCCGGCAGAGCCTCCGCACACCCACCCAGTAGAGCGTCAGCATGAGCACCCAGTAGCCCATGTAGGCGCCAGCCCCTGCGGCCAGGTGGTGGGCCTCGGCAGCCCGGGAAGGACCGCTCCAGTCAGCCCGGGCCTCATGCACCACGCTGCGGACCAGGCCCCCCAGGAGCAGCAAAGCCCAGAGGGCCAGTGGCAGCAGGGGGACATAGTTGGCGGCTAGCTTCCGCCGGCCAGAGGTGCCCCAGCCACTCTGGTTCATGGTGGCCAGCGCCAGAAACTTGGCAGGCAGGAGGCCGCACATGTAGAGTGGCGCATAGAGCGAGAGCAGCACCATGCGTGGGCAGCCGCGCAGCCAGGCCGCAAAAGCCGCCTTAGCCAGCGCCACACCCTGCACGCACAGCAGCACCCACAGCAGCGCCCATGGGCGGCCTGCGTAGAAGAGCCGCAACACAGTAGCCGCCACGAAGAAGGGGAAGAGGCCCGAGACCACTGCCTCATAGGTCATCCACGCGTGGTGCCGGTGCCACCAGAGCGCGTTGTACAGCCACTCGCGGAAGTATGATTTGGACCAGCGTGTCTGCTGGCTCAGCCAGCGCAGGAAGGACGAGGGAGTCTCAGAGTAGCAGCGGGACCGGGAGGTGTACCTGGATGGAAGGGACAGGACAGGCATCAGGACGGCCCTCTCGGTGGCCAGGACAGAGACCAGAGCCAGAAGAGGCCACTGCTGGACAACTGCTGGGCTGCAAGCCTTCTTGACCTCCCTGGGCCTCATGTTCTCCTAAGTAAAATGGGACTGACCAGGATTCCTACCTAACAGGGCTGTTGTGAGAACTGAATCGGGATTAGAGGCCAAGTGCTTAGGATGGTATGTCGTACTTGCTCAATAAATATTAGCAACTACTACGGTTTGCGCTATGACTAATATCACTACTGCCGTTACTAATATAGTCACAGTTACTGACCTATTACTAATGCTATCACTAATCTGTTACGAATACTCTAGCGCTTGCTCTTACTGGCAGGCCTTGTGGTGAGGAATAAGCCAGGCGCTGTTCCTACCCAGGGCATCCCATGTGTTAGAGCTCAAGGGACCCATCAAGCCTCCTTCCTGCAGCCGCAGCAGACATCCTAGTCAGTCCCCACCCAGTGTGCGGCAAAGCCCACACAAGGCTAGAATCCTGCTCCTGGAATGCCATCAGGTGGCCGCTAACAGTTGCGTTTCTTAGGAGGCGTCCCACTATTCTCTCCCCGCGGGTATTACTCGACACTGTTGTCCAGTCTCTTAACCCTGGCTGCCAGGCATCCTCAGGAGCCTCCCTGCCCTGCCCTTGGTCTCCTGCAGTCCGTACCCAAAACAGCTGCCAGAGGCATCCTGTTAAACAACACATCACCCCTCTGTCCACAATCCTCCCATGGCTCCCTGTCTTCATTCAAAGTTCTTGGGTGGCCTGTAAGCCTTTCTGGAGTGCACTCCATTACCACTCTGTCCTCCTTCCCGGATGCTCTCTCCTTTGCTAGGGTTCCGGCCGCATCATATCCAACCTCTATGCCCAGGAAGGGCATCCTAGTTAACATTTCATTCGCTGCTTCCAGACTCTACCTCCCCTTTCCTGGCATGTGCATTATCCAGTGTACTACTGGATACTCCTTAGTCATGGTCTCCCTAGTAAGCAGTATGCGTAAGCATGAATTTGTGTCTCTTGTTAATGGCTCCATCCCCAGAGCCTAAAACATTGTAATGAGGGGCGCCTGGCTCGTTACATGGGAGGAGCCTGCCGCTCTTGATCTTGGGGTTGTGAGTTCAAGCCCCACACTGGGTATAGAGGTTACTTAAACTTTTAAAAACCCACTTTGTAATAAATATTTGCCTTGTGAATGAATGCATGGGTTCCTTTGGTATACCCTAAGTTCTCTCCGGCCCTTTCACAGGGCCTAGTTTTGTAGAAATCTCTTTCCCCTGAACCTGACCCAGTCTCACTGGATTACGACTCTTCTGGAAGTACTCTATTCTTCTTGCTCACTCTCCCACTAGATCCCACTCTCCCTTCCCACCTCACTCGGAGTAATCTGTGAGGCCGTGGTAGAGCCACTGTGCCCCATCTCATGTTGTACCTTCTAGGTGGAATTCCCCACCCCCGACCTTGCCTCACTTAGTAGAGTCCACTGGGTCGCACAATCAGCCACCCTTGCCCCTTCCAGTATCTTCCATTCTCCCCTAATATCTCACTTGGTAGAGCCCACTGTCCTGCCATCTCCAAACTTTGGGTTTGGAGAATTCCCAAAAGACACACACACACACACAGTCACTGGCCTCCACACAAACCCAACCACCTGATCCCCTCAGCTTACTTGGTGGCATAGCCCATGCTGAGCATCCGGTTAGTAAGGTGCCGGTCATCCCCAAAGGTACAGTGGGTACCCAGAAACTTCTGGTTGTACCAGGCCTCAAGGAACTGCTGCAGGAGGTTGTTTCTGTACAGGCCTGGGTGGAGGTGGGGAGAACAGGAGCATCAGCCTCTACTGTCCCCCATCCTATCTCTAACCCGACTCACCTCCAATTTTGGCCCCATCCTCAACCATCTCAATCCTGTCCTCAGCCCTGTCTCCAGCGACAACTCCAGCCCCAATCCCATTCTCAACAGCAATCCTTCCTCAACCCCACATTCATCCCAAAATTTGCCCCAATCCTATCCCTGACCCATATCCACTTTGACAGCAAAACTATCCCAACTCCATCATCAACCCCATATCCATTCTCAGCCGTATTCCCTACTCAACTCCTTCCAAAAACCCACCACCAACCCCAAACTTGGCCCCAGCCCTGTTCTTGACTTCCAACTCCAACCCGTTCTCTTCCCCCAAACCTTTCCTCAGCCCCAATCCCTATTCCCATCCACACCCTTCCTCCAACCCCACCAAACACCATCCCACCTCCAACTTCCAGTCTCATCCCTATCCCCCATCCCTGTTGCAGCTCCATCTTTGTCCTCAATCTCAATTACATCCGGTTCTGACTCTCTCTCACCCCCTCCACTCTATCCATGGCCCTCCCCAGCCCTACCCCTGCTCACCTAGGGGACCACTGATGCAGGACACACATTGGAAGTAGCTCTGACAAGCCCGCTCCACATTGAAGGCCACCCAGTACCGCAGGCTGCTTAGGAAGCTGACCCAGGAGTCCAGGGGGTTAAGGATCCGCACATCCCCCCCAACGGCCCCTACCCTGGGGTCCTCGTCCAGCACCCGCACCAGCTCCAGCAGTGCCATGGGGTCCAGCCTTGTGTCTGAGTCACACACCTGTGGGGTGGAAGGAGCCAGGATCAGGCCAGGTTGGTACTTGAGGGGAGGACATCACAGGGTAGGGAACTGCTGGGACACTGCACCCAATCTGAACATCCAATTTTTAAAAAAGATTTTATTTATTTATTTATGACAGAGAGGCAGAGACACAGGCAGAGGCAGAAGCAGGCTCCATGCAGGGAGCCCACATGGGACTCGATTGCGGGACTCTAGGATCACACCCCAGGCTGAAGGTGGCGCTAAACTGCGGGGCCACCAGGGCTGCCCTAACTTCCAATTTTGTAGTCACTTTCAAGATGGCCTCCCTAAGATCCACACCCTTGTACAATACCTTCCTCTGGCATGTGGGTGAGATCTATAACTTGCTTCTAACCCATAGGATATGGCAAAAGTGATGACACATAACTCCTGTGATTATATTACCTAATACACAAATAGTATAGGAGTTTTGCAATGTAATTAAGATCCCTAATCTGTTGAGATCTCCTGGGTGGGTCTGGCCTAATCATGTGAGCCCTTTATAAAAGAAGGTCTAGAAGTTAGAGACTTTTTCTTGCTTGCCTGGAAGAAGTTTTACAACTACAAGAAGATCAACCCTGCCCACAGACATAGGAGCCTGGGAGAGGCCCCTGAGCTGTAGATATGACCCAGCTCCAGCTGACATCATGATCATGGCCTGATGGTACCGGAACAGAAGAGCCAGTTAAGCTCTGCCCAGACTCCTGATTCATGGAAACTAGGAGATAATAAGTGTTTTCTTTCAAGCTGCCAAATTTGTGGTTTTCATTTGTTAGGCAGCAATAGGTAACTAATGTGGTGCATTACTGAACCAATTCCTATACTGGATGAAGACAAGAAGAGATCTCTACATTGAAAAGGTGAATGAATAAAGCAATGAGTGACTTCTACATTGGATGGATAAATGAACAAATCTTTAGATTGGCCGGATGACTAGATGGATGGATGGGTGGGTGAGGGAGAAGGAAAGACCTGCATCCAACAAATGAATGAATAAAATAAACGAATGACCTCCAACTGGGAAGATGGATGTAAGAAGGTATGAGTGATTCAACAACCATTTTAAAAAGAATGTATGAGTAGGAGTGAAAGGAAGAGTATGCAGCTGGAGGATGAATGAATGAAGAAAGGGAGGAATTAATGAGTCACTACACGAATGACTGAAACAAATAAGCCGTCTCCTTATTGGGTGGACGGATAGAGGGATGTAGGAATGAACGAGTGACGGAAAGAGTCCCTACATTGAATGGCTGGATAAACAAAGTCCGAAAGAGGTCCCTTCCAATCCCTGCACCCAACCAAGAATCCTACAGAAGAGGGCGGCCCTACTCCGGGCGTCCGGGGGCCGGTGCGCGCGGGCGCCTTGCACTCACCTGCACGTAGTCCACAGAGTCGCCGAGCGCCTTGAAGGCCGTGTACATGACCTCGCGCTTGCCGCCCCAGCGCTGCGCCACGCACACGCACCTGTGCGTCCTCACCAGCGCCTCCACCGCCAGCCGCCCGGGGTCTTCGGCCTCCACCTCCCGGTAGGCGCCCGCACCTGCCGCGCCCGCCGCCGCCGGCTCCCAGGGCTGGTGGTAGTTGCCGTCCCACACGTAGGTGGCCGGGTCCTCGTCGGCGAAGACCTCGCGGAACATGTCCACCATGTAGAGGTCCTCGGGGCGGTTGCCGTCCACCACCATGAGGACGCGCAGCCGCGCGCGCGGGTACTGCAGAGCGCGGGCGGACGCCAGGCACTGGCGCAGGTACGCAGGGTCCTCCTGGTACGCCGAGATGGTCAGCGCCACGCTGCGCGCCGCCGCCGCGTCCAGGGGCCCCCGCGCTGCCGCCTCCCTCGCCGCCGCCGCCACCCGCCGGTGCTCCAGGTACGCGAAGAGGCTCTGCGCCACCAGGTGCGCGGAGAGGAAGGCCCCGTAGAGACCAAAGGCCAGGAGGCCGTAGCGGTCGGAGGCCAGCGGCACCCCGGCGGCGTAGGCCCAGGTCATGAGGCCCAAGATGAGCAGCGCGAAGGTGATGGTCAGCACTCGCCGGGCCAGGCCGGAGCAGTGGCGGGCAGCCGGGGTGGGCTTGGGCAGCTCCTGCTGGGGGACAGCAAAGGGGAAAGAGTCCTGAAGTCCTCCTCCGGGAAGCGGGAAGAGAAGACCTAGGTCTCCCCCAATGCCTCCCCGCCCCCGCCCCAAGTCAATACAACATCCCCTTTTTGTAAAGAAAATCCTGTGGGTACTGCAAAGTTATTTTTTTCTTTTTTATTTATTTATGATAGTCACAGAGAGAGAGAGAGAGAGAGAGAGAGAGAGAGAGAGAGGCAGAGACATAGGCAGAGGGAGAAGCAGGCTCCATGCACCGGGAGCCCGACATGGGATTCGATACAGGGTCTCCAGGATCGCGCCCTGGGCCAAAGGCAGACGCCAAACCGCTGAGCCACCCAGGGATCCCTGCAAAGTTATTTTCACCAATGAAAGTAATTGTGGCAAACAGCAAGGCTCGATGCCTGATTATATTATATTGATTCTAATATATTTTTCCCTACATTTTTAAAAAAAGATTTTAATTTATTCCTGAGAGAGAGAGAGAGAGAGGCTGAGACATAGAGGAAGAAGTGGGCTCCCTGGGAGGAGCCCCACGCGGGACTGATCCCAGAAACCCGGGATCATGACCTGAGCCAAAAGCAGAGGCTCAACCACTGAGATACCCAGGCACCCATTTCCTCACATTTTGTTTTATTATTATTTTTTAAAGATTTATTTATATATTCATGAGAAATAGAGAGGCAGAGACCTAGGCAGAGGAAGAAGCAGGCTCTCGGCAGAGTGTCCAGTTTGGGGAGGGGAGCTCCATCTGGGACATTTCCTCACATTTTAAACAGCTCTTCAATCCACGAGGATTACACTGAAGGAATGTTTAATTAATAAGGATTCTCCTCCCCTCCTGCTTCTTAGTGGTACATGAAATAATCACTCATCTCACAGAGGTTTCTTAGGGTTGAGATTGTTAATAATCATCATCTTAAAAATAATGCAATATGGTATGTACCAGATAAGCCTTTTATTTTATTAATTTAATTTATTTTAGTCCTCACGACAGCCCTATGAGGTAGGTACAATCATCCCCATTTTACAGATGAGGCAGATGAGTCAGAGAAAGATGCAGCAACCTGTCCAAGGTCACACCTGGATAGCAAAGAAGCTAGGGTTTGAACCCTAAGAATCTGGTCACTGAACCATCAGCTTATATATTGAAGCTTTACTCCCCAGGAGAGCCTGAGGGTGCAGGAGGCAACAGATAATGTTTTCAGTGCTATCATACCCATAGCAAAACTGAGGACTGGTTAGTCAGGAAGAGTGGCTTGCTCAAGGTCATGAAGCTCACAGGTAGGGGGAGTCTTTTCTCCAACTTCCCAAGGGCATGGCCATGGTCTCCTTCACTGCTCAGGTCTCCAACAGGCCCAAGTGCCTAATACACATTGCTGGAAGACCTCAGAATCAGAGAGAGACATGCCTCTGTTTTCTCGTCTAGTAAATTGGGGATTTAGCCCTTTCTACACATCAAGTACTGCTCCAAGTGTGGCAGATACTGTTACTTGTTCCTGTTACATAGGTGAGGTGATTCTCTTGCCCAAGGCCACTCAGGCAGTCTGGCTCCATGGTCCTCTAAGCTAAACTGCCTCCTGTGTCATCAGCTTCCATCTCATGGGCTTCTTTATGAGTTAAATGAGTCATTAGGATACAGACTTGTGTTGTCCAATACAGGAGTCACCAGCCACATGTAGCTACTGGGTGCTTGAAAAGTAGCCAGTATGACAGAGGAGCTGACTTTTTAATTTTATTTAAATATTTAACTATAGAAACTGATACTTGATTCAATATTGGAAAGTTTTTAAGTATGTTTGAAACAAGTAAGGTGTGTGAAGCTTCTTTTTCACCTGTCAATTTTATGAAACCTAAATAGAGGTCCAGATCAAGTATCTCCAATCAAAGTATATAGCATCTGTGTGAGATGTGCATCTGGATTTTTAAGGCTTTGTTGAGAAAAGAAAGAGTTAAATATCTCATTAATATTTGTATTGGGGCAGCCCGGGTGGCTCAGTGGTTTAGCACCATCTTCAGCCCAGGGTGTGATCCTGGAGACCCAGTATCAAGTCCCACATCAGTCTCCCTGCATGGAGCCTGCTTCCCCCTCTGCATGTGTCTCTGCCTCTCTCTCTCTCTGTGTCTCTCATGAATAAATAAATAAAATCTTTAAAAAATTATTTGTATTGTTGCATACTGAAATGACAGTTTTAAAAATCTTGTTATGAAGTTTTATGTTACTTTGTAGTAAATATGGTCTGATGCATCTATTCATGCCTATGATATGTCTGAGATAGCAAGGGTCAGCACCCTACATCCCTCGGGCCAAATGCCTGCTACCCTTTTCACTACAGCTCTGCAAGCTAAGACTAGTTTTTAGGATTTTTGTTTTTGTTTTTTCAAAGATTTTATTTTTAAGTAATCTCTACACCCAGTGTGGGGCTCAAACTTACAACCTGGAGATCAAGAGTCATATGCTCTACCAACTGAGCCAGCTGGGCATCTCTAGTTTTTACATTTTTGAATGGGTGAAAAAAGTCAAAAGAATATTTTGTGGCATATGAAAATTACATGATATTCAAACTTCAGCATCCTTAAATCAAGTTTTACTGGCACACAGCCACACTCATCTGTTTACATACTGTTTATGGCTGATTTCATGCTACACCGAAGTTGAGTAGTTGCAGGAGAGACCATATGCACACAAAAAACTTGAATATTGATTATCTAGCTTTCTACAGAAAAAGTTTGATGACCCCTGATACATTGGGTTATATAAAATATATTATTGAAATTAAGTTCATCTTTTTCTTTCTACTTTTTAAAATGTGGCCACTAAAAAATTTTTAACTATGTAAGTGGCTCACATTATAGGACACAGTTTTAACTTCTATAAGGTAGAGTTTTTAGCATAGTAATCACTCAATATTAATAATTATATTATTATTACTTCTGGAATTCTCCTTCTATGTCCTTTTGATCCAAACCTGGCCCTGCCTGAGTTTCTGGAGGGTGGCCCAATTCATGCTGGGGTTCACTGAGATAGCTGGGCCACTGGAGGGCTCTAATGTCAACACTCAGAAACACACATACACAGCCCCACACATATATTCCCACATATATTCTTGTCTCTGCCAAGAGACACACAGAGCGTGCTCACAAAAGAAAACATTCATGTCCTCTAAGAACCTCTGTTCTTAGAACTTAGTGACCCTGAGACTCTCACCAGCAGCCACACAGGTGAATTTGGAAACACACCCCCTTGAGCAGAAAGGAGCTAAGCCAGGGATTGGATGCCCTCAGGGCCACAAACACTTAGGCACCCACCCGTGGGTCCCAGCAAAGGGACAGTTTCAGAAAACCGTAACAGTTACGGTTGAGCCATATGAAATGACCATTTTCAAAGGGCAAACGTGACCAGATAGCCGCGATTTCATTTGGTTCAACTTCATAGTTATTGAACAGCCATAACAGAAGAAATCCGGGCCCCATGTCAAGCGAATACAGCCCTGCCTCGCGCAGCCGCACCCCGCACACGGACGCGGGCTTACTGCAGGATCAGCGTGGGCCTGTCCCCTCTCATACACTACAGGTGGGATGGCCACCTACAAGGGGGGATGGAACCCCGACGCCCCAGCGGGGGTCGCCGTCACTACAGCAGCGCGCCCGGGGTCCCCACCCACGTGGTCGCACAGGTGCCGGCAGGCCCGCACGCACCTGTGTCATCGCTGCGGGTCCAGCGTGCGCTCCTCTCCTGCTCCTCGCTCCCGGGTCTGGGTCTCGCTGTGGCCGGGGAGCCCGGGGGTCATTTGAAGACCGATGCGGGCGGGGGCGGAGGAGGGCTGACGTCAGGGCGGAGCTGGGCCAGGGGCTCTGAGGTCACGGATGAGCCGGGCAGCTCCACCCGCTTCCCGCCACTGCCCGCCACCCCGCGCCGGACGGCCTCGGTTCCCAGGGCCGCAGTCGCGCCCTCCCCTGCCCTCCCAGGCCTCCTTCTCCCGCTCTGCGCTCTCTGCGCTCTCTTCCCTCCATTCCTGCCTTCCTCTCCCTCGCTGTCTCCCCCACTGCGTCTTTCCTCACGTCTGCCCGATTCCTCTGCCCCCTCTCCCGCACCCCAGCCGCTCCCCTCGAAGCCCTAGGGATGGAGGAAATGCGCACACGTGCGTGCTTGTGGGTGTGGCCGGGCGCTGGCGGCGAGGCCTGCTGTCTGGAAAGAGCTGTGAGTGCTTGTGGGTCTGCATGTGTGCGCCTGTGCCAGGGCCGGGGAGGGGGCTGGGCGCCGAGACGGGTCCCCCTAAGGGCGCGGGGAGAACTCACAGCGTAGTGGCGCCGCTGCCCCGGGGAACCTTCAGGAAACCTGAGTCACAGTGAAGGTGGCAGTGGCCTCGTTTGGAGGCCAAAGACACGGGGTCCCGGGGCATCTCGAGACCAGTATCCCCACTCAGTGATAAATGTCACTGTTTCCATGCCCTTCTTTTTCCATGCTTTTTTTTTCAAGATTTTATTTCTTTATTCATGAGACACAGAGAGAGGCAGAGACCTAGGCAGAGGGAGAAGCAGGGAGCCTGAGGGGAGCCTGATGTGGGACTCGATCCCAGGACCTCAGGATCAGGACCTGAGCCAAAGGGGGACGCTCAACCACTAAGCCACCCAGGCATCCCCTTTCTCCATGATTAAAAACAACAAAAAATGCACCTCTATATCTAATTCTTTCTGTCCCTCCTCTGTGAGCTGATCATGCCCACCTCCTACTCTCTCTGAGCTCCTGTCACTCTGGCTCTGCCTCTCTGACCACCTGTGTCTGCTCCCTCTGTGGGTTCCTGTTTCTCTCCATGCCTCCCTCTCTCTTTCTCTCTCTTTCTCTCTTTGTGTCCATTTCTGTCTGCTTCTCTCTGGCTCTGTGTCTGTCTCTTTATTTCTGACTTGGTCTCCCTGACTTTCTTACTAAGTCTCTCTCTCTTCCTTTTTCACTCTCCTGTGTGTTTCTGCCTTTGTTTACTTTGTGTTTCTCTGTTTCTCTCTGAATATCTGTATTTGTATCTCCCCACCCCACCCCACCCCCCAGTTTTTGTTTCTCTGTTTCTCCCTGTTCCTGCGTGGCTGTTTCTCTTTCTCTGTATCTTTTTGTCTCTGTCTCTGTCTCTGTGCATCTTCTTCTGAGGCTCCATCTCTGTATGTGTTTTTCTGACACCCTCTCTCATTCCCTGCTTCTCTCTGACTGTTTTCTGCCTCCGAGTCCTCCTTTCTCCCTGCTGGTCCATCTCATCCAGCCTGTCCTGGAGCTTTCTCCTGCAGGACACCAAGTCCTCACTCCCTGGGTTCCCCTGGGAGGCAGGGAGTGAGGAACCATGGCTAGGTTGGGTCTTGCCTGAGGCTGGCTGTCAGGGAGAAGGCCAGTTTGGGGCCCAAGTAAGAGGCACCCCGCCCACCTCACCAGGGCGGGGCCGCGTCTCTGACGCTGTTGCCAGGAGCCTGGCTGCCTGGTGTCTGGCTGTGTCAGGATGATGGATCCCCCGATGGGAGCTGAGCCCAGAGCAGGAGGGGAGGGAGATTCCTCTACCCCAGGGTGGAGGTGGGGGCAGCCCAGGCTCCACTCAGAAGCCGGGCATTTGGCTGCCCAACCCCCACCCCACCCTGCCCGGGTGGAGCAGCTGTATAAAATCAGATGTTTCTAAAACCAGAGTGTGAATGAGGAAGGAGGGATCATGGCTTTAAACCCCAATGGCTTCCTCTTCCAGGATCCAGGAGACCAGGCCCCCAGCTCCTTCCTCCCTCAGATGCAGGGATCCAGGCCCCCAGCCCCTCCTCCCCAGACCCAGGAGTCCAGCTCCCAGCCCCTTCCTCCCTCAGACCCAGGAGTTGGGGCCTCCAGTCCCCTCATCCCTCAGACCCAGGGGTTCAGAACCCCAGTCCCTCCTCCCTCAAATCCAGGAGCCCAGACCCCTAGTCCCTCCTCCCTTCCAAAAGTCCAAGCTCCCAACCCCTTTCTCCCTCAGATTCACATGTCCAGTGTCCCAGAATTCCTTGCAGGGAGAGATGACCATGGCTGGTAGTAGCCAAGACAAGGACAGATGAAACCAGGCACTCCCACAGGAGGCAAGAGGTAGTGGCAGGATCACCTCTAGCTCCCCTCACTGACAGCCATCTCTTCCAGAACCCTCCACTCCAGTGGAGGCTGATCTCTCTTCTGTGCCCTGGATACACAGTGGCCCTCTCAAGATTTCCATCCTCACCAGAAAACATCAGAGTTTGGTTTACAGAAAACCAGGGCAGAAGGAGTGAAGAGTGGGGAGATAATAAGGCAGATGTGGAGAAAGGGCAGAGGAAAAGAATATTTGTTCACTGTAGGGATGTCTCCTGCACCGCTGGTGGGCCAGGCTCTCGGCTGGGTGATGCCAGGCACACAGAGATGACTCAGACCTGGGCCCTGCCCTTGTGGAGATGCCAATCTTGCGAAGGAGACAGCTGTGTAAACAGAGGATCAAAGAGCAGTGCAAGGATGCTTTAACCCAGCTGGAGAATCAGGGTGGGCTTCCTGGAAGAGGTGATGTCCTAGAGGAGCAGAATCCTAACCAATGAGGAGTTAGCCAAGGTAAGGGTGGGGATGTGGCTGGTGGTTCAAAAGTGGAGTAGAAGGGCAGGCAAGGCAAGCAATGTCCTGGTCAGCAAAGTACAGGTGGGTTGATGTTGTAGAGGCATAAAGGGTGAAGCACTGGGCTAGGGGTGGGGTACATAGCAGGGTTCACCCCATGCAGGGTTTTGATGGGCAGATTTGGGGGTCAACATTTGGTTCTGAGGGTGCAAGGGAAGGCTGGGAGTGGAGGCTGTGCCAGACAAACTGGATGGAGAGATCAGAGACTCCTGGCAGGGGTGTCTGAGTGGCGAGGTTCTATCAGGGTCTTCTCTGAGCAAGTCTGAGCTGGGATGCAGGCAGTAGCTGCGGGGCTGGAGCAGAGGCCCCTGAGAACTTGGAGGAGCGAGGAGACCAGCTCACCGAGCTCCTTCTGGAGACATCTATCTCATTTCGGGGGCAGGTCCCCCTTCTCCATGGTTACTTGTCTCCTAAGGAGCTAGGGAGAACAAGGGCCCCCAGGAAATAACCTGAGGAAGTGATGGGGTTTTGTTAAATACCTGAGTCCAGGCACATCCGGGCTGGAATCTGCCCTGTGTCCTGAGTGGGAAGGAAGTGCTTTGGGAGAGTTAGAGGATGGGGGCAAGGGGTGGGAGGATGGAGGGAGAGGGGGAATCAGAGAAGGAAGGGAGAGGGGAGAGGGGAAGAGGGAGGCTGGCTTACCTGGCCAAAGATGTCTAGATGGAAACCGCGCCCCGCCCCCCCCCGCCCCCCCTTCCCCTTTACCTCCCTTTGCTCTTTTCTATTTTGCACTGCATTTTTCACCTTCCTACATGAATATAAGTTGCCCACGTTTTGCCTTCCTCGTATATTGTGCATCCCTCTTGTCAGGAGGCAGGCTCCATACAGGCAGTGGCCTTTGTCTCTGCTGTTCATGACTGTTTCCTCAGGAACTGGACCTGAGCCTGGCACATAGTAGGTGTTCAACAAACTTGTGTCAGACGAATGAGTGAGATCCTGATGGAAGACAAAATGGTAGATGGAGAGAGGAAAGAGAAAGAGGAGGAGGAAGAGGCGAGAAGAGGAAGGAACTGGGTGGATGGAGAGAGGAGGAAAGACAGGGCTGAGGGGAGAGGACAAGGGAGAGATCCCAGTTCAGGGACCCTCCCCCATCCCTGCCCAGCTACTGGAGGGGCATCCCTAAATGCCAGACCTGAGAGGGATGGGATTCAGAGCCCCAGGGAGGAGGAGGGACCCTAGCCAGGTGCCCCAGGATCAGCAAAGATCCAAATCTGGAAGCAGACTGCCTCTGGACTTCGGGGAACTCAGAGGGCTTGGGTTCCAGCCCTGTTGGCAGCAAGCAGCCCACAGGGCCTTTCCTCTTCCACTCCCCACTTCATTCTGGGAAACACCTAGGCCTCTAAGATTCAGCAGAAATCCTGAGGGGGCTGGGGGGGGGGGGAGGGAGGGAGGGAGGGAGGTCCAGAGACTGCCTGTCCTCCTTCTGCCTCTAGGAGGAAGCTGTGAGGCCACCAAGGGGTTGGGGGCGGGGTTGGCCTGCCTGCCCTTAACCCTGTCCTGGCAGCTGGGGACACCTCATCCCAGCCTCCTCTGCTGCTCCTGTTTGTGTCCCTGGAGGAAACAGAAACAGAGAGACAGAGAAGGGAGAGGGAGAAGAAGGAGGAGACTTCTTTTTCTGAGAGTTTTATCCTCTCCCAGGGAAGCAAGAGGGGTCTCTTTTTACAGAGAGGGAGCCTGAGGCCCCAAGAAGAGCAGTTTCATAGCCAGTGTGATCCAGCTGGGAGGCAGCAGAAAAGGAGGTCACCGAGGGAGGAAGGGCTGGGGGCTGGACCTCTGGATCTGGGAGGAGGGGCTGGGGGCGTGGGGACCTGGACTCCTGGGTCTGAGGGAGGGATCTGCACTCCTGGGTGCTGAAGAGGAGGCCTGGGGCTCCACTTTGTTCTGAGCTCTGACAGAAAATTTTGTGAGACCCAAAATTTACTCCTGCTCACATGGCTTTGGCTCTGTGTGTCTACCACTTCCTTCTGGAAGCAGTCCACCGTGAACCTAAGTCCACTTTCAGCACAGGCCAGGGCCTGGTGAGCTTCCATGGAAGCAATACAGCTGTCTGAGTCAGAAGACAGATGGGAGGATGTGGAGTCAGAGGGACAGTCTGGGGCCCTCAAGGAGGAAGCAGTTACTTGTGTGTTCTTGGCAAGGAGCCATTTCATTCCCCTGAGCCTCTCTTTCCTCATCTGTAAAATAGGAGTATCTCAAGTTGTCCCTTCAGATTAAGGGAGAAAGAGCATTTGCCTGGCACACTGCAATTTGAGATATGTGTCAACTGTTCCTGAACCAGCAGTATGAGGATCTCCATGAATGATTCCGGTGGCAACAGGGGACCCTTCGCCTGCCCTGACCACCTCAGTTGTGATCTGGGAAATCAGCCAGGTAGGGTCTGGGAGGGGCCTATGGTCTGGAGTCAGCTGCACCTGGGTTCCAAGGCTGTTGGCCTTAAGCAAGTCATGTCCAACCCTGGCAACATGTCCCTCTTCCATCCACAGACAAGGAGAGCCCATGACCACACTGATGGGCATGGATGGAACTGTGCTGGCCACAGAGCAAATC